AGGGGCCCTAAACTATTGTAATTCCTAGGACTTTAGGGACTTCAGGTGGTGCAAGATTTCCTCCATCAACAGTAGGGTGGACTGCGTTAGTGTTTGCTGGTAGTTTGTGGTTGTAGCTTTAGCCGTGGGATCCCAACAGCCTTAATCAGCCCTAAACGCTCAAGCCCATAGGAGCTATAGTCTAAACTCCTTAAAGGGGGGTATATAGGGAAGTATATAGGGGACTACTATAGGGGTTATTAAGGGGGATACTAGGAGTTTAGACCATAGCCCATACAAACTTACCATTACTGAGGGTACTCAAATTACCTTAATCTCAAAAATGCAATCTTTAAGCTCAAAGTGACACCCTTTCCCCCACCCCCCGCAAACTCTAAGTAATGGTAAATAATTAAACTGCAAGGGAGGGCGCCTGTGACTCCTGAACTTTACGAATATGGCAATAAGAGTACTGGTTTAGAGGCTTAACCAAGCAAAGTTGAACTGAGCGCCCCTTTGATTCCGAGCTTGCGAGGTTTAGGGGTTGAGGGTTTAGGGTTTGGGGTTCAGGGGTCTAGGGTTTAGGGTTTGGAGGTTTGCGGTTTAGAGCTCAGGGAGGGTTTATGGCTATCGGGTTCGGGAGGTTTGGATTTAGGGTTTTCTGCTGCATTCCCTAAAACAATCGTCCTGGTATGAAACGGTTGGTCATGTAGACCCCTGATTAAGAAACCACTTTGTTTTGACGGCCGCAATATTCGGATCCCCAGTATAATCGCTATTTAAGGGAGGGGGGTTCTTGATCAGGGGTTTACATCAGTGCGGAAAGCGGGAAGTTTCCAGCGATGGGGGGGTTCACAACATGTGGTGGACTCTTGTCGCCTTGTAAGTGCATCAGGCATAGAAACTTGAACCATGCAGATGCTTAGCATTGTTTAGCGGCGGCTGGACTGCATGGTCCCCCTGGCTTTGCAGCAAGCGGACATCCGCGACTGCGATGATCTGAAGTAGCAGCTACCATGATGTTCGCATGGCCCTAAACCCTAGACCCAGTTGCAGCAGACTTTAACTACAGGAAGTATACAGGCTCGGTTCTATGGCAAAGCTGTCGTCAGACGTGTATATGACATGATGGAAGCCCTACCACAAATGCTCCGCCCAATCTTCTACGCTTAAACCCTAGACCATAAACTCTAAACCCTCAACCCAGGGGGGCATCTTCGACCCGTAAGCTGCATACATGGCCGGCTAGCAGCTAGGTTAAGAGGTCACCCACATTCATGTAGAAGCCTATGTCAAATGTTGGGATGACCCTTCAAACCCCACAATCTCCAAAACCTTAAGCCCTAAAACCCAAAATCTCCAAAACCTTAAACCCTAAACCCCAAACCCTCTAAAACCCCAAGCTAAACCCCAAAACCTCTAAAACCCTAAGCCCTCAACCCCAAAACCTCTAAAACCATACATCCTTGCAGGGATGATATGCGCACCCCGCGCCGCCAATGGCGGCCTACGACTGCGCTTCTTGTTCTTGTCTACGCCGTGGTGCAAGTGGTGCAGGTGAGAACGATGGATCTTTCTTTTCATGCATAACCAGGTTAAAGCATCTACAAAACGGAGCCTCCTAACCCTAAACCCTAAACCCAAAATGACGCCATTTTACGTAGTGCATCTCGTAAGCTGCCTTTTTTGGATCTTCTACGGGGTCTGGGCAGCTTGGAATGGACAAGAAAATGGAAACACAACCCCTAAACCCTGTACTACCTCTCCCAAGCTCACCCTTAACTAGCCTGCATTATCCCTAAGTAACCCTACCCAAGGGCGAACCTTTAGCTGGGTGGTTGGGGGAACCACCTGGACCTCAAAAAAGTAGGTAAAATTATGGCCCAAAACTCTGAATATAGCCCAAAAGGCTATTATTCTACATACTTTGGGGGTCTAGGCATAAGAAAGGCAGGTCTGCACAGAAAGCTACTTTCCGGCTTTGGTCAGTTCGGGGCCGAACGACCCGGCCTTGAATTTAGGGTTTAGGGTTTAGTGTTCAGGGTTTAGGCTCATGGATACTTTCCATACGCTTGGATGTACATGCTGCAGAGCCGAAGGTAAGCTACTTCGTATTTGGATCGTTTGACGATAATTTGAGGAATTCTGCGTGTTCGTTCCCTCCAACATGTTAAAACACATGTGAGCTATAGTCTAAACTCCTAGTATCCCCCTAATAACCCTATACCAGTCCCCTATATGATTACGTATATAACCCCCATGTGAGAAACCCTCGAGTAAAAAGCTCTGGAGCGGAGGTCTCTCAAGCCGCAGAGGCGGTTACACAGAGATTTGGGGAGCTCACATTCAAGGATTCCGAACCCTCACCCCTAAACCCTACACCCCTGAACCCCTAAACCCCAAACCCCTTAACCCCGTAACCCAAAACACTTTAACCCTAAACCCGTAAACCCCAAGCCTCTAAACCCTAAACCCCTGAACCCCTAAACCCCTTAACCCCTAAACTCCTTAACCCAAAACACCTTAACCCCTTGATCCTAAACCCCGAAACCCTTAAACCCTAAACCACTGAGCCGCTAAACCCCTGTAGCCTTAACCCCTTAACTGGTCTCTTGTTGAACAACATGTTATGTGTCTATGTATACATGGGCCCAGTATAGATTAAACATGATGATTTTCATAGTATTTCAACAAGGACCCAGTTACCCCCTGAACCCTAAAACCCGAAACCCTAAACCCTAAAAGTGATGCAATGGGGGGGGTCTTTCTGCAAGGCGAGTCGTGCATTTGCAGCCAACAAGTGGAGCGGCTGCGGCCAAGTAATGGCCTCGCTACCTGGCTTTTCTGGTATAGAATTGCGGCCCGCAGGGCAGGGTTTAGGGTTTGGGCTTCAGGGTTTAGCGTTTATAGTCCACCTTAGGTAGAAAGACTATGGGGTATATGGGGACATCTTGTTATAATCTACCCAAAGCCATATTCTATCTACGTAAGGGGGACTATAGGGTTTCCTGTAGAGGGTGTGGGTTTAACTAGGGTGTTTACTTGAATCATTGAGAGAGCTCCACGGGATTGTGTTCCACGGGTTTAATGTTTAGGGCTTAGAGTTACGTACCTTGCCTCAGACGCATGTTCCCTGAAAATTAAAGCCCTACCCCAAACAAAGGATTATAGTAGGGGTCCCCCTAGTTACGGAAACTACGTACCATATAAGGACGCGTCAGCAGTTTCGGGTTCAGGGTTGAGGGTTTAGGATTTAGGTTTGGGGTTCAAGGTTTAGGGTTTAAGGTTCAAGGTTTTGGGGTTGCTTGAAGCCTGACTCACTAACCACAAGCATAAGATGGCAGAACGTTGAACAGCAATCATGACAAGGAGGCTTTGGTCACACCGGTAATCTTTTGCATACGATCGCCCCCCTGACCTAAACCCCAAAAGTATGTAAAATAATAGCCTTATAAACCCATAATAATAGCCATGAAGGCCATTATTTTACATACCTTTGGGGTTCAGGTAGACCCTAAACTATATACCATATACCTACATGGACCCTTTGGGTTACCTGCTAATCCGTTTAGGTCCAAATATGGCTTTTACGCTTTTAGCAAGACAAATACGGGCGTGCTTCCCCATATGTTAGAATACGGGCGTTTGGTCTTTTAGGCATATATAGGATTATGTGGAAGACAAGACAACACCCTCCCAACTGTAATGGGAAATCCATGCTACTTCCTTTTCTGCTGCGATTGCTGCTGCCAGTTGTTCAGTTGCGGCTGGTGCTGCGGCGGCTGTGTTGTTCGCTGCTGCCTGCTATACCTTGCCTTTCCTAGCAGTATAGAGGCCCATATATTCTAACTTCTGCGAAGACTTGAACCTAATACCTATATAATCCTTTGCACTACCACTCAAGAAGTATGATGTAAGTTTTTATTTCGCTTGCCTTATACAGAGAACTTATTCCTTCGCCTGCCCTATGAGTACAAGCCTTCTCATTGAGCATGTAAATGCATATAGGGTAGCCAAGACATTGTAGCAGTAGCGATAGCCGGGGGCTCAAGATGAGCACAACATCATGCACCCTAAACCCTATTATAAACCCTAAACCCTATATACAAAATCTGGAAACCTATCATCTTTCCTGGCATGAGCTGGCAAGCCGTGAGATCTTAAACCTGAAGCTGCCATCGCTCACCCGTGTCTTGACCCCTTTTGAGTTCCCGAACCCGGTATACCCTACCCTAGCAAGACTAGTCATGTAAGATGCAGGCTGAATATGCCCAACTTGAAATATCCAGAACCTCCCTGAATCAAGGGTAAAAAATACAAACCCTAGCTGAACTTGACCTGAAACTGAAGCTCGCCCAATTTCCCCTAAAGCAGGCTTGTATCCAAATATGACATAACATATTACGCATAGATGCCAGGTATTATAACTGAAGTATCATATACAATTTGGATACAAACCCGCAGCCTTAAACCCTATATAAACCCTATTTAACTTTAAAACCCTACATAAGAAATCCAGCGCCTGATTCTTGCATGGATGGTGCGTCGGTGATGCATGCAGATGGAGGCTCTGCGTTAGATGGGTATGTGGGTATTGGTCAAAATTCCCTATAATACGGGGTGCTATATTTGGGTTCCTATTATAATACGGGGCCCTCTGCAAATTTCCCCCATTTTGGGAACAGTAATTTAAATTAGGGAAAGTACCATGTCCTGTTACGACCTTCATTACGAGGGCTGTATAGCAGGCTTTCAAAGTTTGGGCTTCGGATATATAGGGGGCTGCAACTATACAATAAAATATAGCTCTTATGGGCGATTATGATCAGCATAATGGGGGATTCCGGTTTTAGCTTCATAGGATAGGGGCCATTATACAGCTGTATATACTCATGGGTTGCAGCAGGTGAAGGGAGTTCCAGATCAAGCTTGGATGGCTTTAGGGGGGTCTAGCTACGGGCAGGACTAGTACACCTGGACTATTATGGTACTTGGGGTATGGAGTTTAGGGGGAAGCTACATCAGTCAAGCAAACCCATCTTGTCCGCAAGAGCTGCCTGATAGCGGCGTAGCACACGGGTATGTGGAAGCTTGGGTGAGACTCTTCTAGAAAGCCTGGCTATGTTGCCAATAAAGTCCTCGCATTGACTTGTGCTATTGCACACTGGATTGTAAACCCTCTGGAGCCCCTGCTTGTCACGTGCAGCAGCACGCAGGGACCATATGACATGGTGAAAGTAATGTATCTTCGGGGTTAAATTGTACAGCAAGCGGGCATGCTGCATCGAATACTCCACTAGCTTGGCATAGCAAAGCAAGAACCGGAATCCGGACTCTGCTGCTTCATGAGCAGCACCGAGGGGCATGAAGGCTTCCTCCTCATACAATGTATGCAGACACTTGCCGATAGCCTTAGCTCCTTCCGAAATGTACTTGTACGGCCTGTCTTTAGCAGAAAGCTGGTCCAGCAACCATGGCAAGAATTGCATGAGAACAACAGAATCTTGTCCTTTGTTCCAGCTGCCGCAAGCATAGGAATTGGGGGTACCGGCACCGATCAAATCCAAAGTAAGCTTGGCAGCGTGAAAGGTCAGGCGGTTCTCCTTGACGAAGGCTTTGAGTTTTCGATTCATAGCATTCATGTTCTCCTCGTTGGAGCTGCCAGCAAGCAGAGGCAGCATGAGGCACAAGGAAGAAGCTGCAAACTCTTTGTAAACTCCAAGGTTGAGCACATGGAACAAATCGATTTTCAAGTATGAAGCCGCGTCGGGAGCATGCGGTATGCTTCGTAGCAAGCTAGGTAAAGCAGTCCAGGGCATGGGATTGTTGTCCCCTGACGTACACAACCATTCAGGCTCGGCAGCACTCAGATCCTCAAAGCCTACTCCAGGCGTTCCTGCCAAACACCAAGGGCAGCATCCAACGAGCCCCTTTGATTTGTTCGTGGGCGCTCGCTTGCGAACGTGTGCAAAACTTCTCGTGAGAGAAGCTGCTTTTGCCTGGAACACGAGGTCCCCCTTCAAGCCTATGGGCAAGAATCTCCAGCGTTGTTGGTCTATGATGAGCCCTTCCTTGTATAGATCGCCAAACCAATCAGAAACGTGACCAAGCAACGCGAGCAAAGGGCTGGCATCCTCAATGTAATACTTTTTGACCATAACTGAAATGAGATATCGTGTCGACAACGAATGTCCTCGAAGGTTCACTTGCGCAGCTTCCACATCGAAACCCAACCTCCTCTTCTGTCCTCGTTTCTCGGAAAGATTTGTTCCACGGCCGATGCAAGACTGAAACTGAAGCACCATTAGCTCTGATTTCTTATATGTGCGGCCTCCATCTCCATGAAGATTCAGGGGAACAAGGTAAGAAGGGTCAACAGTACCAGCATGAATGTCATCAGCCACTGGATGGTCCGGGTTTTCCAAGCAGTAGTTCGCCCAGAAATCAGCAAGCACAGCTTCGCCTAGCGTGGCTTAGAAGAAAGAAGAAACTGTATAATATGACCTCGTATGACACTCAGAATGTACCAGAAAACGATATTCTAATGTAGAATAGTGACAAGACTCGATCGGTGTGCCGATTACTTCAGCAAGCTTCCCCCTTTCAGCTAGGGCCGCAACGAGGTCACCCGGTTTGAAGCAGGGGTGTTCTTTCAAAAGACCATCTCCCAAATCTACATAAGTCCAGGGTATTGTCACAATAATTTTGGTTCGGACCATTGCTTTGTAAACTGCATCCTCCTCGTGATTGGGCTTTGCTAAGCTAATAGCCAATGCAGTTTGGCAAAGAGCATCCCCATCCCTTCGCGAGGCTTGAGCTCTCGTCACCAGATCTTTTGCAGGAACCTGGGCCAGCATTTTGGGGACATTACAGGGGTCGTATACTCTTTCTTTCGAGATACTTGGGTTGCAAAAGGGGTTGCAGAAGCTGGGAATATTATGATACAATAAATTCTTTATGGGTGGCATACAAAACAAGGTGGCTGAGTAGCTGGCTCCTCTGCCATAGCTGCGGACATAATCCCGTGCTTTGTAGGTAGCATTGCGTATCCAGTCCAGACCTGGCACGCAGATTCACGAGCTGATTGAAACACAAGCCTCATCATGCAAGTCGGGCCCCCATGTGCAAATATGTGGTTTCAGCGGCATGTGCTATGTCTAGACCGATCGAAAGGCCATATGGCCGGCACAGTGGTCCATCTAATTGGTTCTTGCCATGCAAGCTTTCAGAAAAACTCGCACTTCTGAGCCTTGCTGCCAGCTACCCACATCCTAGAAGTGAAGCACGCACGTGCAATTCTAATGACTTAATGACAAAGCTGGAGCAGCAGCAGCCAGATCAAAATCATCCCAGGTTTGCTGGGCAGAGCTACTTCTTTGCAGCTGCTTTGGCTTTCGCTTTCCCCTTGCTCTTTGCGGCGGCCTTTGGCGCCTTTGACTCACTCTTGGGGGCGGCCTTGGGGGCAGCACGAACCTGGCTGGGGTCCGAAATCTTGCGCTTCAGGGACCTTAGGTATATGTGTGTTGCACAAATTAAAGTCTGTTAGCACTAGAATCTTCATTGCAATTGGGCCGCCGGTTCTTGATCTCAAAGGAAACAGCCAGCACGCACCTGAGCAAGTACGCAGACTATGTACATGCACAATGGGAGGTTATATTAAGGCTGATACTGCCGTTTGATGCTCTTGTAGTTCTCATCCAGCATCGTCTGCAACCTAGGTGGGGTGGGATTGGCATGAGGCACGGGGAAGTTCGGGGCTTACACTTTAAAGCAGAGAAAATTCGCATCGACACCGTTGACCTTTGCCTCGGCTTGATATCCAGCCAGCTCGTCATAGAGCTTGTTCAGCTGCAGGACAACCTCCTCCATTTTCAGCTGCTCCCTGAATGGCATACACTATCTTACTGGAGAGCAGATTGCCTATATTGCATGTAGATCCAAATCATAAGGGCAGTACGGCTCCGTGACAGCATCATCTTTCACCATCTTTTTCAGGAACTTGTCCAGCTTGTTCCTGGCATTGATGGCCTCGTCCAGCATCTTGCCAATGATGGCATCGCCCTGGCCAAATACATGGTCAGGATCATGTATAAACCCTGTTATTGAACATTATCAATTGTAAAAACCTGCCTTCATCCCCTGCTCCTGCTTGAGGCCTGGGAGGTTCTCGTCGGAAGATCGGGCCGGCACAATTCGGAGCGGGCCAGCATCCAGGGCTTGGGAGGCAAACCCATCTGCATCAGCCTTTCCGGACTCTATGACACCATCCCGTTCATCGGATCCTCTCAAGCCCTCAGTGCGAACGTCTACCCAGTACTCGATCTCGTCTTCGTCGTAGCGATTGGTTCTAAGTTTAACAAAAAGGAAAGTTCACATGCGCAGAAATTAGCGTAGCAAGGTGGCTTTCAAAATATTTCCAGGAAAGCAGCCGGTAGAGGCCCTCTTGCTCGCACTTAGCCTTCACCTTTTTGATCTTCTGCCTTATACAGAGCATGGAGTGACCCGAAAGAAGAAAGTTGCATGTTGCAATTGGCCTTTTTTGCACGCAAGTCTCGTACCATAGGCAAGCCCACCCTCGCTGACAGGTTTGCGCATATCCGCCTCGTTGTAGTAGCCACCCTTTGTCTGCATCTTCCGGAACGTCTCCGTTTTGCGGTATACTTCCAGCTTCTGCTGGAACACTGCCTGACAGAAATAGAATGACAAGAAGACTCACTTGTAATATACGACGTTCAAGGCTACAATGGAATTCCATTCTTGCATGTCCTTAACTCCATCCGCTTCCATCATCAATTTCACCAATTGGATTCGGGAATGTCCTTTATGACGCCACTGGCTCACGAGGGCTTTGTCCGCTTCGATCTTGCCGCTCTTTGCCTTCGGCTCGCATAATCGGCGGACCTTCGCCTCTGCTGCATTGTAGCGCTTCTTGTACTCATCCTCATCCTCGCTGTGTCCATCCCGGAGTGTCTCGCTTTGCTCGTGGCTTGAGGCGTCCTCCTTCTCGGGCTCCTTGTTGTCGACTGGCTTTTCATCCGGAAAGCTATCTCCTTGGGCATGCCCGGCCATCAAGGCTTCCTTTGCTGATGCTGGGGTGGGTTGTCCTGGCAATATGTCAGACAGGACTGGAGAGGGCATAGCATTCACCGGCACGGGCGGTGCAGATGATGTCAAGGGCATGTCCGAAGCAGATCGCAAAGACTTCATTCTCTTGAGCGCAGGCTCCTTTGCAAGCGGGCATGTGTGTTGCGTACTGAACTATTCTAATCTTGGATCAAGACTGAGGTCTAGTCCCCAGGGGTTGAGGGTGCGGTTGAGGGTGCGGAGGAAACCGGACTGTGACGTGCACGAACAAGCTGCATGAGCTTCATCTCCAGCTCCTTATTTATGAGGTATTACTAGGACATGTACTTTGCCTTGCCACTAAAATGAAAACGCATTGGCACGCATGTGAATTGAATGGGAGCTAACACTCAAGTAGAAAGGCTAAGAGTAGGGCAGTGGTGGGCTCCGGTAGCCCTGCGAGTTCAAGATCCAATTGGCTTGCTGCATCCTGGGCAATGTAGACTGGCTATATATACAAACTATGTGCAGCCATACCTGGTCATCCATGTTGGAATCCTTGTCAGCAACGGGCTCCAAGGCCTCCAAGCAGAAATGGAATGCTAGAAGGTCATGAGTATGTGTGCAATGATCCACCAGCAGGCCTTCTCATCCCCAGCCATAGTGGAATCCACTGCCTGGATAGCACTTAACAAAGAAACCCAGCTTGAAAGCACCCCACACATGTTCAGGCAATGGCAGCAGCGGGCGGCAGCACAGCATCAGTGCCCTCGGCCTGTAATGCAGGGAGAATTAGGGTTCTCATGCAATCTAAGTTTCCAACTGCTTCCAGGGAGGGTGCAGGGAGTGAAGACAGACCAACCGCATGTGTCTTATATGTATATAAGCAATTGGGTTCCAGCCTCAGCACGGCTGGAGGCAGTGAACTGATTGTTGAGGGTAGCCTCCGCGAAGATAGGGCAATTTTTAGTTGTCTTGGGAACAGATTGTATGCCTGAAAGGCAGCATCCAAACTCTTTCTGGTTTCGGTTGCCTGTGAGCAAGGGCCAAAACAACACTAGAGCGAGCATACTCATGATTGGAGCATAGAGGGCATTAAGATTGCAGGGTCTGCCTCCATAGGCGCAGCTTCTTGAGCAGGTTTTGGTCGGGCTTCGTTATTGAGGCGACGTCGGAGGTCCTCGCAAGGCCATAAAGTAGCAAAACTGCTAGAGCCGTTGAAATCAAGCTTTCTCAGATGCTCCTGAATTTTCATTCGGAGGGCATCCGGGTCATCAGGCAACTCAGACTTGACCACAACAGGCATCATAGCATTGGCGCCTGCCACCATGGAGGCACCTGACCAAGCCTTGCTCAGGAACGTCTTCGCACCCGGCAGCACGGAAGTGCTCTGGCTAGAACCCCCTTGGGAAAGTCTTGAGCAATGAGATCTTGATGTGTGTTGAAGAAAGGATGACCTTGGGGCCCAGAATTACGCCTTTAATCTACGCCTTTTTATGGTCGTTCTACGCCTTTTCTACGCCTTTTCTACGCCTATTTATGGTCGTTTCTCGTAAGCTAAACTGCACTTTTATGGTCGTTCTGGCTTCTGCTTGTCCTACATTTATGGTGGTTTCAGATTATGCATGAAAATTTACGCTTGTTGAGGTTTGCAAGAGAGTTTTTTATGGTCGTTTCAGGTTCCCGGGGCTTCAGGTTCAGGGTTTTTAAGGTCGTTCTGGGCTAGCCCATGCGATGTCTGGCCGAAAATATGGTCGTTTCGGATTTCTGCAATAAGAATCCTCGAAAGAATATATGGTCGTTGGGCTGGATTTATGCTGTGTCTGAAAACTTTAGGGCCAATCTGTTGCAAGTGCGATCAAGTCCTGCGCAGAACCAAACAAAGTTGCAGCTCGGCTATTTTTTTTTCGCCACGCCTGCATCGCATCCTCACTAGCCGACTCTATAGTGTGTAGTATTTGGCCCGAATCGGCAACACCATCAGGGTTCAGGAAGTAAATGCTTCTGCCCAGTGCGTCCATTGAGTGTTGCAAGACTCCTAGCACAAAAGCCGGGCCACGCTTGGTAATCCTGTCTGACATAGAAAGCCTTGCATCCAGCCCATAGTCTGTCACAGGAAGAGGAACCAACATCAATGGAGTTGAAAGCATGTCGAACAGTGCTCAACTTTGCAGCTTCCTTTGCTTGCCCCGCATAGGCAGGGAGCACAGACAACAGAGCTAGCATACCATTGCGAACACTTTCCAGGGGCCCCTGAATCAATTGCATTTGCTCCATGAAGCACCAAGAGTCCAGCTTCTCCAAAATACCTCTTGCCCAGGCCTCTACGGGATCCATCTTCGGGATGCTTTGGCTTGGCCTACAGAAGATTCCTGTTGGCCAGAACGTTGCAGAAAGCATTCGGGATAAATTTACTTACTCGGGCTATTCGATGTATAGGTTTAGACGGGATATGCAATCTACCCCAGTACTTAGCAGCCCCCGGGACCTGAACCTGCTCTTGGCTAATCCGCATGATGCTATATATACAGAATACCGTAGGGGTTGCATGGTTTCATGTACGGAATTCAGGCGGTCCTACTTCCCAAGGTCTGAGGCATGTAATGTAGTCATGCAAACATAGCCTCGATCATGCATGGGTCAAGGGTCTTGGGTGAATCCGAACAACCCTGAACCTGGAACCAATCCACAAAACTCTTATAATATATAAAATGGCAAACCCACCTACTCTTAAACTCCTGGCCAATGAGGCCTCCCAATGTTTTTCCAAGTCCTCGAAACCCCCACAATGAGGGCAAGTGTGTCCTCTACCTCATTATTGGAGATCCCCATACTAGACAACGAACGCTATATACATCTATAATAATAACACGAGCAACCCAGCAAGGCACTGAAGTGTTATCATAAATCTTGCTTCTGGAGCACCTACCTGAACTCTCCAAATTGAAATCCCTCTACACGTGCTAAAACTCCGGAGGTTCTTCCTATCTTGTAGCAACAAAAACATGGGATGTAGATGATATCCCTTTGAAGTATGATTCGGCCCCATAGTGCATGCTGAATGGAATAAGACAAGTAAATAAAAGAATTTGCTCCTGTGACTTAAGCTTGAAGCTGCTAACGCTGCTTTCTGGTGGAACACTTGCAGTGCTTCATACGCTTAAAACCCTGTTTCTGGTAGCTGTTTTGTTCCTTTGTACCGCCTCCGTCCCTCTTTGTCCGTGTACTGGATGGTGGGATTGAACTGCGGGTCCTTCTGCTTTAGATCTACCTTGTCACTCTTGAAGAACAGACCAATGACCCGCCGATTCGACCAGAGGCTGGTCCGCTTCGGAGTCTTCGATTGATGCAACTTCATCCACAGATGGAATCTGTGAACCTGGGCAGGGTTACATGGAGAGGGAGTTGAAAATTGAAAGAGTAGGAAGGTCAGGTTTTCGAATATCCAAAGGATGCATTAGCAGTGGGCCCCTCTCTAAAGTATACATAGCGAGCATGGGATTGGGACGCTGAAAGGGCACAATGACAGTGTATGCTATGAAAACGGTGTACCCAAACCCCAAAAGTATGAATAATAATAAGCCTAAACCTATAACAACAGCGCTGCGTTCATTATTTTACATGCGTGGTAAGGGACTGTCATCTTCTCCACGAGCCAAAGGAAGCGAGCACTCTTCATCAGAAGTGAGCTTCGGGGCTGTTCTATAACCCAGCAATGTCCCATAATGTCTGCCAGAAAGCACAAAAAGGCACACCTCGTTCATTTCCTGTAACACGCACTGGGGGTGAAGGTTCAAGGGTTTTGTACTTATGGAAATGAATGCAAACACACATGCTCATTCCTGGGAAAGGGTCCGAGATGAGATGAGATTGGCAGAAGCCACACTTGAACACGAGCTGTAGCCTTCAGGATTGGGCAGGGTACGTTTCGTCGAGCCCCGCAAATCACTAATCCACGTGGAACAAAGTATTCCCAGCCAAATACAGCTATTGCGCCGACCGCACAGGACTGCTGCTAGAAAGGTCCTTGGCTTATGAAGGTGCGTGTAAAGCCATCCCCATCCCCCATGCACACATTAAGCTAAGTCTCGCGTAGCCTGAATATCCGGTAACATCCATCCCAGGCCCATAACAGAAGTCCACAGAAGCAACTCGTTTACCTTCTCCACGAAATTCGCCGGAGAGGGTAGCAGAGCCACTGAAAAGTTCGGCTAGGTCGACCTCCTGGAGTTTCAGATGCTTTGTTTGGGGGTTCACAAACTGCCCATGACAACATGCTAAACATGCTAGCCAAATAAAGTCCTGGCGAAAATTGATGTCAGCATTCCAAACGAGCAGCAGGACACAGAGGACAATAACCTCGTACACGAGACATGACATTCGAAGCACTAATATAATAAGTCAAGATCACTCTGTGATTGCCTTGGGTGAGCCTCGCTTGATGAGACCTATCACGAGCTGGTCAGGGGTCCAGATCGCCATGGCTGGTACAGAGGTCTCTTCAAGATTCCCATGCAGAAGCTACATGGGGCCCATGTCCAAGCAAGTCACATGCTGTCTATGCATGCAGTGGATGAAGCATTTGTGGACAGCTACTTCAAGGAATCACTCAGGTACATATATATACCCCTTGAGTTTCAAAGGGCTATGGGAGAATTGTTGCAGTTGCAAAGGTTCTGTGGCACTGCGCATAAACTGGCCAGCCTGACTCCTCAAAGCTGAACCCAGGACAGTTCCAGAAGGCGCTCGCCGAATCAGCGTTCGTACCTGCCGAGGTTGGGAAGGGTGCAGGGGTAGATGCTGCACAAGTCCGGTGAATTGCAAGACCAACTACTGGCACAGAAGCTCACGCGGACACATGAAAAATCCACGCTACACAGATGCAGACTTGATAGTGGAATCAACTTCGTCCAGAAGTAAGCATGAAGCTACGCAGAAACGTTGCCCATCTTGTAGCGCTGGCATCAGGCATGTTCACTGCTATGTACATAGCAACACACCGCGCTGAGACCTGACTCGAATTGCTACAGGCGCTGTGAGTAGGAATGCGCTGCCCTAATTACCCAGGAGCCTGCGTCAAGCAGCTAAGCCCCAGCAGCACAAGCACACAGCAAGCTGAAAAAGCCCCATGGTACGGGAATGTAGCGCACCATGACTGGTATCTGTACACAGCAGATCAGTCCTCTTCGAGGTCCATGGTTTTCAGAAACTCATGAGCAGCACGGGTGCAGCTCTTGTAAGTGGCTACACGGGAACAGTTCTCATCATGCAGCATCGAGTACTGCTTGGCAAAGTCAAAGAAGTCCGACTGCAGGGAAGGAAAAGGAAAAGAAATCTATCCTAGCGAAATTAGTGAATTGAAACCCCATCTGGCCTCAAGCTTTGTCTTCTGGCCAGTCGGCATGCGGGGAATCAAGACGGAGCGAAATGACAAGACACAGCCGTCCCACAAACGTTGCATCCACGAGTCTCTGGGAGGTCGGTAGCGCCTGGCGAAGGTGTTCGGCCAATCGTCCGCCCTCTGCACTTTCTTACGCTTGATATCCAAGGGCAGATTTTCCCCTTGGATATCCTTCGGCTTGCGCTTGATGGAGTTGGCCGCCAAGTCACCATCAACGGACTTGCCCATGTGCTTAGGCTTCTTGTCGGCAGACTTGGCAGAGGCAGCAATCTCGCTGGAATTTCGCGTTTCTCTGCGAGGGCGGCCAGGCTTCTTCTTCGTGTCCTTTGACTCCTCAGGCTCGAGGTTCACGTCATTAGCCTCCCCGCTCTGGCCGTCATTCTTGATGTCTGCCATGTCCTTCGCCTCCTTGGTCATGTCGCAAGATGTCTGGCCCCTGCCACGTCCTCTGCCCCGTCCACGGCCTCTGCCCCTGCCAACATGTTGAGCAGTAACACCTTCTTTGGCTGCTTCCGTGGCTGCCTCCTTGGCCTTCTCCGCGTCCTGCTTCTCTTTGATCTTGCGACCCTTGAGTGCCAACTGATCATCCCGAGTAGCCACAAGCTTCACAGGCGTGATCTCCGGCAGAGCTGGGGATCGCGGGGATGGAGTAACAACAAGTGACCCTGTCCCAAGTGATTTGGTTGGAGCCTCCAAGTCAACTTTGCCAGCAAAGGGCTGGGGCGGCGACGATGAGAAGGTCGGGTCGATGCGGTGAAGCACAGCCTCCACCATCTGGGTGTCCAGCTGATAAGACTGAGTCTCTACATTGTCCACACTCTTGGCTGGGATCGGGCCTGAGGATTCTCGAGGGGTAGGGTGTGGGGCCGTTGGCACAGCTCCTTCATCCTCGGAATCTATAATGATGCTCGGTCCTGGCGAATTTTATAATTAAGCAGCTTTGAGGGCATCTATAGGCAGGGAAGGTCTGACTTGAGATAAGCTAGTGTCCTGCAAGCACTGCATGCAAAAGCTTCTGGGTGTGCTGGCGCTCTAGCTCCATCCTAAGTGCGAATTGTGCGGACATGCTGTAGCTACGAAAACTTTCTATTCTACACTTTCAGAATCATGTATCTACCCTGCTTCGGAGTGGCAGCTGCTTTGCCTGAAGCTTAAGCTGCGCAACCTGCAGTTCATGTTCCAGCTGCGCGCGCTCATCATCTGTCAACGATGCGGTTGTCGGCATTCCGAGACCTGGATCCGTAGCTGCAGGAATACCACTCTGGGATTCTTCATGGGGATGGAGGGTGTCAGTAGCAATAGCCGGATCAGCCATGGCCTCATTCACGGTATCATCCTGCATCTCCAAACCATCTTGACCCTGAGCAGCTTCAGCTGCCAACATGCTAGCAGGACCAGTCGTATGATGGGGATGGAGGGTGTCAGTAGCAATAGACGGATCACCCATGGCCTCATTCACGGAATCATCATTCGCCTCCAAACCATGTTCCCCCTCTGCAGGTTCAGCAGGCAACATACTAGAAGGAGCACTCGTAGGCAGAAGCTCATGAAACGATGAAGGCGCTGAGGCTCTCTGAGACCCTACATCATCATCATCATCATCATCATCCGGATCCTCCCTATCTCGCAGGCACTGTGCAAGACGAGGTCCCAATACCTTAAGGTAGGCATGTTATCTAGACATGTCACTGCAATTTTGCCTATATTAATGAAGACGAAGGTTCGCTTGTCAGATTCTCGTAGGCCCGATCAAACTCCTTGACAAGGCGTTTCAGCGAAGCATCCTTAGTCATTTTTTTAGATGCCCTAAATAGTCTAGCTTGCCCCTTTCCCCGATCCCCTAGTCCGGATCAAGATGAAAGTTTTCCTTTCAGCATCTAGGTTCCCTGGGGTATTCCTCACGCCTCCACTTTCGCCGCAAAAGACTCAGCATGCGTTTCAGGCCCTTGCTGTCGGAGTAGGCCGTGCTTGCAAGGGAGTCAGCACAGGGAAATCCAGAATGACTATGAAATTCAAGAGTCACAGCTGAAAGCAATGGCATGGGTGGAACGAAAATGCAGGCATTGTCTCCCATAAGCCGCAGTACAGTGCTCAGCACTTCCGCATTCAATTGGCAGCACTCCAGGCTAGAGACAATCACTTCCTTCTTCGCATCACTTGGCAGGAATACCCCCTGTAACAAACTACGGCCGCGCAAGCTTCGAGCGCGGAAGTGCCGACACTGCTCCCAATCAATAGGCACTTCCACCAACCATTCGAAACTCTTCGGATTGAATGAACTGCTAGCCCCAGCCATAGCTTCCAAGTCCCTACAAGGTCCTCAAACCAAAATGCTACAGAAGCTTGCATTCTTGTTTGCACAAACCTGATGATCGCAATTAGACGCCCCCGGACTCCAAAGGCGCACCCTGCGGATGAGGCTGCTTCCAGGATCGCTCGACCTGGCCAAGCAAGGTGAAAAAAGATTTCTCTGTCCCAAAGTCGGTAACCTTAAGTTAAACCAGCCAGTTGTACATCATTAGCGGCAGCAAGCCAGCGTCAAGAAACACATGGCTGGCTCTGTACCGTAAGGCACATAAGGATGCGCATTAGTGTTCTTCCTAATTGTCCTTACATCATCAGCTTGATGCATGAGGATTACGAACTGAGCGTGTCCCAATGATAACATTCCAAGTCCAATTGGGGCTCCGCACCTATATCGCATATATACCCGTATACTATCTGTACCCCATTAATGATCCTATTTTAAGATCGATGCATGAAGCCGGAGAAGCTTCGATGGACTCAGCTGCAGCTTGGGCTCTCCTTTCGGATGGTCTTATAATAGGGTGGATAGAGGAAATCTTGTCCCAATTAGGCATGTTATATATATATACGGGGCTCTTCTATATGGTACAAGAATTTCCCCATCCACAATACGGTTTCCAAGGGTAGCCTTTTAATCAGTTTCTTACATTTCAAGGGCTGTTGGCTCAATGAAGGGCTAGTAGAAAGTTGTCACTCCTGCATGAGGCTCTTACCAAGGTGTGGGTTTTCATCAATATAGCCGTGGTACTCTACATTGTTGTCGGCTAAGCTTTGGAAGGCAGGTTCTTCGGGTTTTTGAGGCCTTTCTTGCCCACGTATATAACATAACTGCATGAAAATGCCTACATTGCTACATGTAATGATATTTTGGTTCAAGAATTACATAGGGACTGTTGGTGGATGTTGCGAGATTCTTTATAAGAATTCAATAAAGATCTCTTTGGAGAATTCCCACGTGTCAATAACAGATGCGATTAAATCCCAAGCATGAAATCCAAGGATTTTGGAGAAATATGGTCGATTTATGGGCTTCTGGCTGAAATATGTACATTTACGGGCGAGTTGCAAAAGACCATTTTTTTTAGGTCGTAGAGGATTCCCAGGTAGGTACATAGAACATGCTTCAGGGTCAGGGCCCCTACCGCCTGGGCGGGTAAGCTTCAAATCCAGCTCCGCCAGCTTGCGCGGCCCCTTGACGTAAGAAGATGAGAACGTCAAGCATATGAGCCAAAATCTAGGGAGTTTTCTGGGGAATTAAATATGGGGTTCTATAGGGTTATATAGGGTTTAGGGTTTAGGGTCTAAACTCCTTACAGGGGGTTATGCAGGGGATTACATTGGGGGACTACTATAGGGGTTGCTCAGGGGGATACTAGGAGGTTAGACAATGGCTCATATTGAGGGCAAGCAGGAACAACGAAGAGAAAGTTCTTCAGGTCTCTGAAGCAGTCCCGGCTTGAGGAGCTAGCGAATTTGAGCGAGGCAAAGATGTTCCACTCTATACCGGCAAATTGTGCTGATGGTCGTTTTGCATCTCTGCAGGGGAAAGATTTTCTATGGATCCTGATATTTCATAAACAAGAAACCCTATAAGCCTGGGCTCCACTTCAAATGGTTTTTGTCGACCCTAAACCCTAAACCTAAACCCTAAACCAATGGCCTTTGTCGTTGTAGGCCAACTTTTCAGGTCCGATGTTGGCCTGGGGGAGGGTAATGTCCGTATACCTGCAGCGCACTACCTCAACCTATAGTTCCCCTGAAGATCCCTTAAGTAGATAGAATATGGCGTTGGGTATATTGTAGTAAGATCCCCATATACCCCATATTCTATCTACCTAAACGGGACTATGACATGGAAGCCCAACAGGGCCCTACAAGAACCACCTAGAACTGCAAAGTCTGTAGAACAATGGCCTCTTAGGCCATTGTTGAGGATTTTGGGCCATTATCTAACCTACTGTCCCGAAACCCTAAACCGCGTGTCCGTTTCTTTCAGAGAGACCAGATTAGCTTCCATGTTTTGTTCGCGCAGGGGGCAGGTAGCACTGGCAGGATTTGAGCCGAAAGAACTCTGTAGTCCAACATAACCCTGCTTTATCAACGACATATGGTCCCTGCAGATCGCGCATTGCGTAGTTTGATGAAACCCTAAACTCTAAACCGAGCTTTTACGAAATGAGCTTAGGAATGTGAGAGTATAGGTTTTTGAGGCTGAAGTTTTGAGGTACATGGAAGTTTGGGGCTCTGGGCTGTTTGAGGGCTCGTGATGAGGATCTTTGTATACTGGTTCGGTTGTCCACCCTGCCAGTAACCGTGGTAGATATGTTAGATATGTACTGGGCCCTATTGTCAATACCGCTCATTCTTTGCTCCCCGCAGGCGTTAGCTGAAACCTGCGTGAACTGCAATGTACCCAAAATCCCCAAACCCCTACCTGGGCCCCAAAAATGTATAAAATGGTGTATCTAATATTTAAGTTGAGGTCGCGGCATGGGGCCTGAACCGCGCAGCAGACAGTCAGACAGTCAGACAGTCAACAATCGCGCAACACGAGCAGACAGTCAGACAATCAGACTGTCAGACAATCAATAATATTCGGGTAGCCGTCATACAAAAACACTGAAATCCAGGATTGTTTTTACAGGTCTGTAAGGGGCCCTTCTCAGGGACCTACAAAAATCCTGCTACCGAGACGCGCGTCTGACTGTCTGACGGTCTGCCTTTCGCGTCTGACTGTCTGACTGTCTGCCTGGCGGGTCTGACTGTTTGCCTGTCATTTCGGGACCCAAACGCACGCTCTCTCAAAACTGGTTTTGAAAACTGCAAAATTGCTCGTATCCTACCTACTGTTACCCTAAACGCTAAATCCTAGCATTTAGCCAACATGGTTAGTATTCTACATACTGTTAGGGTCCAAGTTTTTCAGCTACGAAAAAGGATCGAGATGCCAGTAGTTGGGACCTAAAACCCTGTTCTTTGTGTGCTTACCTAGACCTTCCAATTTGGGGGTTTCCCAAAATTAGGGGTGCCTTTTTAGGGGTCTCCATTATAAGGATGATAGCACTTTGGAGTCTACATTGGGGTCCCCCTATTTGGGGAAACTACCATGTAGTTCCCGTTTGGGTTTGGTGTGGTTTATTAACGGTTTATAGGTAAGGGTTCTTACCTAAACCCTAAACCCCAAACCCCAAACCCTAAACCTTAAACCCTAAATCCCTGAACC